GTATATAATCAAATTTAAATGGATGTCGCTCTGCCGTACAGTAGGTTACAAATGGTTCAATGAATAATGGATTGTATTGAACTTGAATTCAATGATATAATATCATTGTATAAGAAAAATGATTCTGAGTAGAGACGGTTTATCAGTCTGTATTTTTTAAATTTGTATTATTTATTATAGCCTTTAAGTTGAATTAATATTATAATATTACTATTTTTTATTTGTTTCTATGGTGATAAACAAAGCGTTAGAAATTAAAATCACATTTTTAGCGGTTTTTCATAATTTGTCGGTAGTTTTTCCTGTGGAATTAAATAATTATTGAGAAAATCGAAAAATGACCTCTTTAAAGTACCATCTTGATCTAATTTGCTAAACGATAAGGTACTTTATGTTGAAATCGATTCACTCATGCTGGTAGAAATTTTGCATGCAAGATATTATAATATATATAAAAAAAAAACACCATTCTAAAATTAAAAAAGTGATAGTAAAAATAAATACAATTTAATTGAAAGTAAAATATTTTACTATTAAGTCTTTAAAAACTTGTTTTTATTTTTCACTTGGACGGACAATATTTCCCACTATCTTATGGAACTTACATTTTAACCACTATATATATTTTTTTAATATAGGTACACCTGTCGTGTAACGACAATATATGTAACGACCACTAATAACGAGTGGTGACTTAATACTTAAGACTTAAAACGTGTTAGCATGATTGTATAGTATTCGAATTTAAACTTATTTAGTGTTTTGAATACATTCATAGTAAGTATATTACTTTCATATTACTTATTTTTTTTCAACCTCTTTCCTCCATTGAATATTCCTGAACATGCCTCTTACCTCCACTGTAATATAGGATATTTCTTTCCGCTATTAAATTTTATAAAAGGATTAAATAACTCACAAAACTGAATAAAATGTCCTACGTGGCGAACAAAATATCCCCGCGGAACAAAATGTTGCACTAGGTAATTTTGTTTCGTTTTATGATGTTTTGTTCCGTTTTTGATTTTTAATTAAAGGAACAAAAAATCCTACTTAATATATTTTAAAATATTAAAAAGGATCAAAATGTCTTCATAGAAGAACAAAAAATCCCAAAACGGAACAAAATGTTTCAAAAGGGAAGAAATTAACCTGTGGAACAAAATATCGCAACACCATTGTTGGTACTTACAAACATGGTCAAACATATTATTATGTAAACTGTATGTTTTATGGCATATATTATTGGATATGTAGATGCATTAAAAGCACCTGAACGTAAAGGAAGTGAGTATATTATTATTTTTTTTTTTATTACATAATATTAAGACGAATCCTATACGAAATTTCTAATTACGTTATATTTATAACAGAAATACTTCACAATCTATAAACATATAAGTATACCAGTATTATGCTTATTTTTTTTACTTCACCTAAATTAAAATTTACATTAGCAGCTAGAAGCTATGATGGCTTATATCATTAGGCATTGTAGTAGACATATTGTATTCAATTTCTTTAAATATGTAATTTATTATGTTACTTGTATATATGTGACAACTCGAGTCATATTGCTCATGACCCGAGAGTCATATGGTCGAGTAAGGTCGCCAACCACGAGTTGAGACCCCAAAAGGTCGGAGTACCGTGGATTTTTTATAGTTGGTAAGACCAGGCATGAGAAAATCTTAATGAGAATAAGAAAGGATAAACATAACACACTAAGTAGGTAAAAAAAAAAATCATTATATTATTCTAACTTCTAAGGTGGGCGCCGAGAAAGGCGCTGGCATAAAACTCGGACAAAATAAATAAAAATGACACACACAAGAACAATAACACATACCAGCCAAATATAGCAATAATAATAATAATAATAATAATTCAGCCAAATATGGCAATAATAATAATAATACAATAGGGATACTGGCCACGATGCTAAATAGGTAATAATATGTAAATATACGAACCACCATGCTCCTGTCGTGAGTGCCGTCTGATGGCGCTACGGCGACCGCGGTGCTCTACTCTCCTAGCACTGTGCTTGCAACGGTGTAGGGAAAAGAAAAAAAGTTCGTCGGCTTATTCGGCCACAAACGCACGAAATAGATAACGGATGACAGAGACAGTGGGAGTGGGAAGACAGAGCGAGAGCATGTGGAGACGTAAATTAATCGGCCGTTATCCCTAAACACGTAATAAGTCGGCGTGGCCCAGACCATGGATACGAAAGAGGGGAGCGTGTGTGCGTTGTCGTACCGGCAGGTGTTGTCGTCGATCGGTGGACTTGGACCCACGGGACAAAGTCGGCTGTCGCACGCACACGCAACATTTGTATCACTACAGTCTATGTGTACAAATGCTATGGTTAAACGGTCATCCAACTCTGATCGTCACATAAAAAAGTAAATATTACATAGTATTGTGATAATTTCTCGCTTAGAACAATATTAGCAATGTCATATTAATTATTAGAAGTCCCTTTGCTATAACCATATGTGACGCCCTTGTCTTCCAAACGTAGATGCCTTATAACAGAAAATGTATGTTCTACAGAACAAAATTTGAGTTTTTAATTTTAATTTATACAAAAACAAATTTCACGTTAATAATATTATTCTCAAACATATGCCTATGTATTGATATTTTAACTTTAAAGCTAGTAATTAGGCTAGTTAATAACTATGAAAAGAATGAAAAGAATTGTTATGTTAAAAACACATAAAGGATGTCTAGACTCTAGACTCTAGAGTCTAGGGTGTATTACAACACATGTACGTTTGTCAGTGGTTGTGAAGTTCTCTTAGATGTCAACTATCTTGCCCTCATTTTGGTCGTAAAATATCTAATAAATTTTTACATACTATTTACTTATTTAGAATTTGCACTTGCAGTCAGATGCTATAGTAAGTAATTTGATTTTACTTTACAATATACACAACATATTGCTCTTATAAATGCATTGAGATTCGCTCAACGTAAACACATTTATACAGCGTTTATTATATAAGTTTGTAAGTCTGTAATTTTGATTTTAAAATAATGTGAAAAATAATTTTTTTTTTTTATTGAACATACCATCCGTGGCAACTATAGCCATTGGCCATACATTACATTTTACAATATTCATGCATTAAATAATACCAACATTTAAAGGAACATATAGGTATTAATATTATAAGTGATAAGAACATAAGAAAGAAAATAAAAAAAAAAACGAAAAATATAACTTAATGAAACAGGATTTAGATGTTAATTATTATATACAATTTACAATTTGTTAATGAGATGTTTCTGTTAGGAATTTAATGAGTTTGAACACGTTGGTAGGTTCAGGATTGAGTGCTTCAGCGAGGTGGTCTGAGATTTGGAAATGTCTTCTCTCCATGTCATAGGTTCTGCATTCGGTTAAAATGTGTTAACCTGATAGGAGGACCCCACAACAAGTACATATGGAGGGCTTCTTTCTTCATTAAATAGGAGTGGGTTAGGTGGGTGTGTCCTATTCTAAGACGGTTGATGGCGGTCTCTTGTTTTCTTGTGGTGTTCGCGGGGACGGGGAACGGTTGAATAGAATTCTTAATTTTGTTAAGTTTAGTGAACGTTTCATTCCATTCCATTTGACATCACGTATGTGTTATCTTCAATGACTCTCTTTCGGTCATTAAAATAAAAGATGGGTAAGGTGATTTCATCTGGGGATGAGTAGGCGAGTTTTGCTGCTGTATCTGCTTGTTCGTTGCCAGGTATGTTGCAGTGACTAGGGATCCAAGATTGTGTAAAGGATGAGCTATGTAATGGGTGTTCTGAATTTTCCTGGCAATATCAGAAGGATTGTACTCATTTTGAAGGCTGGCAAGGGTATAGAGGGAATGGCTAATTATTGTAATATTATCATCATCTACATTGGAGAATATGTACTCAATAGCTTTAAGAATTGCTAAAGCTTCTGCAGAGTACATCGAGCAATTGTTTGAGAGTTTCCATTGAATTGTGGTTTCTTCGCATATGATGGCCATCCCAATACTCCCTTCGAATAGTGTGGAGTCTGTATATATGTGAGTTTTGGGGGTGAGAAATTGAACAGTTTTCTTTGAATAAGTTTCTGTAAATATGGGGACAGGTAGAGATTTTAGGGTAACTATGAAGATCGAGATTAATATTCCACTGAAATTCCATTGTGGGCAAAAATAAGTTTCAAATGGTATTATGTTTTTAAGATCAAAATTTGTGTATAAATCTTTGAACATATATTTAGGATGGTGAATATGGTTAAGAGGGGATCTTAAGATTCTTGCTGATAATTTGGAAGTATACCATAATACCACAAGTGAAGGGATTCCTGCAATATTTAATATACTTTTGACGCACCAATGGAAAGGCGGATTCCTGAATTGTGAATTGGCTCCAATATTTTTAAATCTGTAGATTTGGACGTTGAAAAGATTGTGGCACCGTAATCAAATTTTGATAGTACAAACGCTTTGTGTATTTTGAGGAGAGTTTGAGATTTTGTTCCACAAGTGGTGTGAGCGAGAGTTTTAATAATGTACAGTCTTGAAGATGTAACGTTCTTTAACTTTATGATGTGAGGGATCCATGAAGCTTTATGGTCAAACACTTGAGGTTGGTTTTCAATAACGTGGTTTCCGATGTGAATGTGGATTTAATTCCTAGTCCTCTTTTGGTTGAAAACTATAGGCATCGTGCAAGTTGTAATGCAGCGCGCCCCGTGGACTATTCTATAAGTTTTGGAGGGTAATACTATTATCATTTATCATAGCAATCACTATTCACTATGGCTCAATGGTTGTAGTAGCGTACTAAAGTAGTAAAATACGAAATATGAATCGTAGTTACTAGTATTATGTTTACCCATAGTTTAAAATAAAATTTGTAATTTATATCAAAACTATAATTCTAACCATAAATTAGGTACCTAGTACTAGGTGTTTATTATTTCAACCTATTTTTGCATTCAACCTTCTGTCGAGGTAATGTCGAAAATTAGAGGTAAAAGTCACCAGATGTGCTGTGTAGTTAATTGCACATATACTCAGAGTAAAACGGAATCAATTAAATTATTTCGATTTCCGTCTAAGCCTCATGACATTGAACAGAGAAGAAAATGGATACATGCTATCAAACGAAAAAAGTAGGTAACTAGAAAGACAGTAGGTAACTTTGATTGTTCTATTACATTTGAATGTCAACAATCAGAATAATCTTTGTTATATAGGCAGTTGGTTTACCAAAAATATTGTGAAATAGCCATAATTGTTTGTGTAAACAGTTTAGTAATACTTCAACTGAATTTATTTAATAGATATTAGGTAGATAATATGATTTCTTTTAATAACAAGCTGATATGCTAATTTTTTCAGTGCTGATAATAAACAATGGGAGCCTACTCCCTATTCCAGAATATGTAGTGCTCATTTTATTGGTGGTCAATATTCCAAACATCCTCAGAGTCCAGCATACAGTCCTACATTATTTCCTGTTATTTACAAAAAAAGCAATTTATAAAAAGAGAGTATTGGCCGTTTTGATCGTCGTATAAAGAGATCTATCCACAACTGCAGTACATCTGCAGTATCAACCATAGATACAAATATTTTACATGAATCGGACAATTTCACAGAATCACAAAGTAATAGTAATAGTTTATGTAAAAATGTAGCTATTCAATGTTCTTCAGTTATTGTGAGCGATACTTTTGAATTTAGTTGTGAATTTTTTAACAACAGTGTTAGTACCCAAGTAAATATTGTAAATGTTGAAACTTTATACTTTAAACCTGTAATGGTAGATGCTAGTGTAGGTTGTGTAGATTCAGCTTTAGAATATTTTTGTGGTTACCAGTCAATTAAAAATGAAAAACACTTAATTTCTATTGCTGGAATAAATCAAGAGATTTTTAATTTATTTCTTACATACGTTCCAGAACAGTGCCATTCAAAAAAGAGCAGGGAAGATAGGCTATTATTATGTTTGGTTAAAATAAAATTAGGAATAACATTTACAGCAGTATCAATATTTTTTAAATTACATCGTTCTACATGCTCAAGAATTTTTAAATCTTTGTTATCAATATTAGTGTCGAATACCAAATCATTTATATTTTGGCCAAGCAAGCAGTCAATTATTTCTACCTTACCAATGGCATTTAAATTACATTATCCTAATTGTCGGGCAATAATTGATTGTACTGAGATAAAAACTGAGCAGCCTCCCAATGTTAATCAACGCGTTTTTATGTATTCAAATTATAAATCTGCTTACACTTGTAAATTTTTAATTGTTATTGCTCCAAATGGTATGATAACATTTTTGTCTAAAGCTTATGGGGGAAGATCCAGTGATAGTTTTATAACTAATGATTCAGGATTTTTAAATTTATTAGAACCTGGTGATGAAATAATGGCTGATAAAGGTTTTCCAGGAATAAAGACTGCTGTAGGCGAAAATAACTCTGTATTAGTCATGCCTCCTTTTATGCACAATGGTACTCTAACTCAAGATGAAATTATAAATACCTACCAAATTGCCAGTGTTAGGATTCATGTTGAAAGATCAATTCAAAGAGTAAAAATTTATAATATATTACAAAAAATACCTACAGAGTTATTAGAGTGTATTGATAAGATCATATTTTTATGTTGTGTTAGGACAAATCTGCAACCACCTACAATTAAGGCACCACTTTAATCCTTTATATTTTGTAAACACTTTTACTTAAGTGGTATTTTCTTGTTATAATAATTTTATTTTTATTTTATATATATAAGATATTATGTTTAAATAAATACTACTATGTGTAAACACCATGTTATATATTTAATAGATCATAATAATATAAATAGGAACAGTAAAATCTATTCCTTGTTGAATGATATTTTGAAAAACAATAACAACTTTCTTTAGTTTCTTACGATCCTGTAGGTAACAACTAACAATTACAATAAAATAATATTTTTTTAAAACTAAGAAATAATAATCATAAGGTAATGTAAAATAAAATAATATTTTTTTAAAACTAAGAAATAATAATCATAAGGTAATGTAAAATAAAATAATAATAACTTTTAATTAATGCATAGAATAAAGTTATAAACCAAAATTCAAAATACATTTTTTTAAATAGAATTTAAAATAAAAATCTCCTAATTTCTGTATAGTATTTTTTAAAAAAATATCATCCCTGTTAACTTCTATCAATAATGAATTAAAATTTTCAGAATAAATAAAGAAATCACAAAAGTTAAGACCACAGCAATACATTAATATTTGACATTGAGTAAAATAAATGTGGCTCTTTTTTAATTCAATAATATTATTACTGCCTCTAATTAAATAACTTAAATTTAAGTTTCCTGTTTCATCAACAATTGGTTTATTTTGACATGATATTGGGCATTTTATTTCTAATATTTTAAATGCTTTTTTATTAGACAGTACAATTCCGTCAGGACTTGCACATAGCCAAGGAGTTAAAGTATGAATAACCAAACCACAGTCAATTACTTCATGTTTGTATAAATGTATATACTTTTGTAAAGCTATTTTTTCATTTTTAGTACCATATTTAACATTTGTAAGACCCCTTCCGTACATAGGTTTTTGTATTATTAAATCATCTACCAATTTTTCAAAATTTTTTAATCTTATTTTAATCAAATGTGCTTTACTAGCTGTTAATCTTAATGATCTTTCAATAAACCATATTGTAGAATTTGATTGTTGAATTGTAGATTGAAAAATATAAGAAAATTGAATGTTAGTAATGTTAATATTATTTTCATAAAAAGTTATTTGTAATTGGTTTTCAAAAATAAAATTGAATGTTAAATTTTCTTTTTTCTGATTATCTAAAATACTATTAACTAGGAAAGCACATTTTTCAAATTCTAATGATTTAAATACATTTTCTAAGAGTTCATTAACAACAGTTATAACTGTTCTTTCACATTCAGTTTTTTTTTCTTCATTATACATCACACTAAATAAAGAAGGTACTTGAAAGTCAGGAATATTATTTGTCACAATAAAATTGGCAGAAGGATTTTTTGGAGGAAACAATTCTTCAATTCTTTTTCCTTTGCAATACAAATCTTTTCCAGCTTTTGATATTTTGGGTGCACTCCACTCACAATGTTGACTTGTTTTTGAATGACCATCTTCAATATTAATATAGTGTGTCAATGCAAAAATATGTTTACACTTTTCTCCTAGACCAGCAGGGCATTGACAAGATGCACTTACAACATTTCTGTTAGTAGCATTTACCTATTATGAGTATAGTTTTAAAATATTATATGTTGTCATTGTATTGCAATATTGCTATAATATTATTTATAAGTATTATAATAGTTAACTTACCTCTAATTTAACCAGATATGGATCTAGTGTAACAGACGTTTGTCTTATGACATAACTACTAATTAAGCAAATGTTTTCTGAAGCAATTTCTTTAACATTGAAAACGTGATTACTTTCAACCAATTTTTCCCTTTGAATTTGACGTTTTCCGAAAATTCACCAATATTAATATTTTTAAATCCCGAATAAATTATTATATCACCGTTCATAATTAAAAGTTATTATATTTCGATATTTTATTAAAAATAATTGCATCCAAGTACAAAAAATAGTAATAAAAATAGCATTGTAGGTACTTAACAACAACAAATAATAGCCCTCCAAAACTTATATTTTTGTCTACTATGCGCGCTAGTGTCGATTGACTATTATCTGCACGGCGCCTATAAGGCTGGCTTTTTCTGGGGAATAACGAAAGCCAGATGCTTTTGTCCAAGACATGAGTATGTTTGTTTAATCTTGTAGTATCCGTTGAATAGAATTAATGTTTGTACTCTGGCAGAGAATAGTAAAGTCATCTGCATAGAGGAGAGGTATGTTAGGGAATGTTATTTCTTCAGGAATATTGTTGATAGCGATCAGAAAAAGCCTTACGGAGATGGTGGATTCTTGTGGGAGTCTGCTTTCTTTTAGGAAGGTATCTGAGAGTATGCTGGGAGTTTTTACTTGGAAGGAACGGTGCTTGAGGAAGTTACATATAAAATCAAGCATGTTTCCTTTGGCAATAATTTTGTTGAGTTTGTCTATTATTCTGTTACACCGTGTCATTTGCTTTAGCAATATCAAAGCTTATTATACCTAGACATTGCTTGTTAAGTAATTAGGTGTGTACTACATTTTTTATGGTCAGAAGGACATTCATGGTTCTTCAGTTTCATCGGAATCCATTTTGATGTGTTGAAAGTAGATTTGAATTTTCAAGAAACCATATGAGTTAGCAAAAGACCATTTTGTCTAGTAATTTCCATATGGTATTGAGAAGACAAATAGGTCGGTAGCTTTCCGAAAAAAATGTATTTTTGTTGGGCTTGAGAATGGGGATGACATATCCATGTATCCAGAAGTTGGGAAAAATTTTTTTGTCCCATATCGTATTGTAAGTGGCTATGAGGTGATTTTTTCTGCTTTTGGGAAGTTTTTGATGAAAAAGTAAGGTATAACGTCAGGGCCAGGGGCTTTAATTTTACAGTTTTGAAGAGCATCTTCTAGTTCTTCTATCTTAATATATCTTCTTATATTTAAACCAAAAAATTAATTCTTGATCTAAAAAAGTGTATGCTATTAACACCTTTCAAGCCACAAAGAACCTTTAGCTATAACTTTTATTTAACTTCGGATACCCACCTCACTTGGCGCGTTCAAAACGATGTAACGGTTAGGATTTTATATATTCCTAATTCATATTACAAAATTATTGTAAAGCATAACACATAGGTTTTAAGGTATTAATGTTAATCTTTATTTTGCATGTAAATTGAATATTGAATACAATGTGATTTATTAATCATGAATATAAACAGAATTTTGACATAAAGGTTGATTTACGTATACTTGTACGGCAAGTTTCTTATTATTTAATATAATATAAGCTTGCGGATTTCAATGAGAATACTACGTTTGCCATTCCCATTTACTATTGATCAATGTATTCACGGTTCTACAGATTTCTTATTCTTATTAACAATATGAATACTGGTGATGTGGATCGTAGTTGTGGAAATGGCTTGTTCAGCAGTAATTGCGTCTCCGCTCCCGGTGTGTAACGACGGTATTGGTGTCCACCTCTTGAGAATGGTATTGATAATATATGTATTGAGGCAAACGTGGACCACTGGAGTAAGTAGACAGAGGCGGCTTATCGTTACGGTGGAAACGGTATTGTATGCGGCGGCAATACAATGTGCGGCAGCAATATAATGAATATAATGCAAGGCGGCAATAATAACGACGGGCTCAATTCGCGGTGGTGATATAACACTCTAACCTGTCGGCTGGCCGAAAGTATTATAACAGACACTAAATATTCTGAATCAGAAGTAGTCTTTTATGGGATGGCGGCGGTGTAATAGCACTCTAACCTTCCCCCTTACGGGTGGCCGAAAGTACTACACATGACAGAGATGCGGCGGCGGCGGTTTCATACGACGTATTCTAACCTTCCTAGTGGCCAAGAATGCGGTGGTGGTACGAGATATCGATATGGAAATTAGCTTTCGTTGGTCTAATCCGAGTGCATTGGCGTATCTAGCCTTCCAAAGGTGGCCGAGATTCGCTTCCCACACTAGAAAGTCACCAACTAGGACTGAGGCCGCAAGAGAGGAATGCTGAAGGGCTTCCTTATATGCTGTGAGTCAGTCCCGCAAGCGTGTATAGTAGTTGGTATTTTAATCTAGCGTCAATGGCTTAAACATCGATATGAAATTTGTGAGTACAGACCAACGCGCTCTAGCGACCGCCTGTTGATGGTGTTGCCTGACGGCGCGTCGTGAGCAATAAACTACGTGTGAGATATTTCGTGTTGGTTACAATGAAAAACATAGAATTAGTCAATATGTACAGGCGTATGAATGAATTGTTTATATATAGATTGATTTGCTGTTATTTATAATTTAAACTTCTATAGGGCAAATGTTTGAAAATGGACTTATAAAAGGAAAATCTGGTAAGTTCATTTTTGAAAAAAAGCACTAATTTATTATGACTAACTTTGTTACAAAACAGTAAGTGCTTGCTGTGTCTGTCAACCATGACGGTATGGTACAGACATCACTCAGCTAACTGATTGCACTTATTGCCCTCCATACAAATATGATGCACACAATTAATTATATAAAAGATATAAAGAGATTGTTCAAAAGAGGAGTAGTATACAATTATCCTGGACGTTTGCCACTTGTTTTTTGTATTTAACAAACAGTCCATACATGACAGGTGGTCCAAAACGTACTATTGCCAAAATTTACAAAATCGAGTTAGGTATCGATTCTTATGAAAAAAATATCGGTATATCGATTGGTGTCGTAAAAATAGATCAAAACGTGTTACTTCCTGGTCACATTTGTGATTCAAAATGGCTGGTTAATTCAAACGAGACTTTTCCATACATACAAATGATATTTAAAAAATCCAAACGTACTTTTTCCAGTTTTTTGCCAAAACGTACTATTGCCAATGTTAACACTATATCAAAACGAACTATGTCTTTCCAAAACGTATATATAGCTTTTTTAATATTTGACACCATAAATCATGTCATTAACTTATCTAGACATATGATAGCCATTATGATGTTTATACTTAATAAATCGAGGATAATATTATAGTTACAT